AAATATATATCAACGTGTAATTTTATAATTCGAATTTTACTTTAATAGATTGTAGAAATAAATATGCATTAAAAGTATTTTATTTTTTGATTTATTAAAGTATAATTAAAGTATAAATTCTAAATTTTGAAGAAAAAAAAACTTTAAATATAGGGATAGATAAATTAAGAAAAGTGGCTTTTAAAAAGTAAGGGAGGAATTATTGGTGTCCCCTTTAACAGTGTTCAACGTCCTTTGAAGCTTACTATAAGTAAATTTTAATTCCAGTTCCCAAATTTGTGAAGACAAAAATGGGACCATCGAAGATTTTGTCTTTTAGTGACTTGAAAATGGCTGTGTAATGATATTCTCATAATTGTAAAATATTAATGTTTAGTAGACATAAAACACACGAATTCAGTAAAAAAAAAAAGTGGAAATGAATGATTATGACTTCCTGGTATCAATAATTCTCTGTAATATTGTCTCTTTCACCCAAAGATGCTTTACAGCAATGGCATTTGACAATATATATCTTTTATTATATTTGCAGCCGTTAAGGCAACAGTGAAAGAAAACCCACGTTTTGCATAAGAATATAATATAGTCATTTTCAGCTAGCTGTTCACACAAGCCATTGAATCATATCTAACCATGAAACGTCAAGATTGATCCAAGACAAGAAAATGTACTTGAAAAATTTTATTTTTCTAATGAATTATGGCAAATATTATCATTTGCTCTCTTCATTGTGATTTACTAGTTTATGAATGTTGGAATTTAAACAGTTTACACAACTTTAAATTCAAACTACATCAACCACATTGTTATTTTCGATGAAAAATTATAAAATAGTTCAAGTCAAATAAAGAAGGTTACTTTTTAGAATTATTTTATTCAAATGATTTTTAATTTGAACATATTAAGTCAATTTTAAATATTAAAGAAAAACACATCAACAACAGAAATTGACTAAAATTAAAATATTTTTAAAATTATTCTTTTAGAACATATTTAATTAAAATACAATTTAAAATGATCAAATAATTTAAATTTAAAACTGTTCTTAACCAAAAGGTCATTGAAGGTACATTTAAATGGTAAATTATAAAACTTGTAATTAATGACAATTTAAATTATAAACAAAGTTCAATATGGAAATTCTTAAAAAGGAATATAGGTTAGGTAAGAAATTCAAATGCAATTATAAAGTAAACAGTAAGAAAAGTAAATTACTAAGAATTGAAAGAAGTATTATACATAAAAATTTAACATGGTAATCAAGAATATGAGTACATTCTCTCTTTTTATCGTTTTTACTTTGAACTATAAAATCTTGTATATATGATCCTTTTCATCTTAAATTACAAATAAGAAAATTTATGCATAGATAACATTTTCAAACAATATTAGAATTATGAAACATATATGTATTTATAAAATATTTGATCTGGATCTTACACAATTTAATAAGTGCTCAATCTCAACGATTTACACACATACACATAATTCAAGAAATGCTTTATAAGGTAAAATATTCGACAAAACAGTTACAAAGAAATTATAAATACAACAACTCTTTTTAAACAATCAGAACACACCACTGTTGTATAAGAGCCTCTAACAATGATTAGAAAAGGATTTCAAAACTAATTCTACACTTATTGTTAAGAACTGTGCCATTGTAAGTTATGTCATTCAATGATAATTTGATCCATCCTAACGTGTTATATGACAGATGGATCCAACTGCTATCAAAACTCTTTTTCTTTTAAAATGGACTTTAACCCTTTATTCACTTGAATGGATTTGGGAAAGAGTGATTGAGTAAATTTGAGAGGATTTGAAGATAAATTTTTTTTTGTTGTTTATTTGAGTGAATTTGGAGGCAAGTGAGAGTGAATTTGGAAACAACGTTTATGAGAATTAGTGTAAAATTTGATTGATGTGACAAATTAAAAAAATTTATTTTCAAATTCATTCTCACTTACCTCTAAATTCACTCAAATAAACAACAAAAAAATTTATCTTCAAATCCTCTCAAATTCACTCAATCACTCTCCTCAAATCCATTCAAGTGAACAAAGCCTAAGGAAAATGATAATAGTTTTGCGAAAAAATTATTGTTGGTTTTCAAAATTTTACATTTCAAATTTTTATTAGTAGATTATATATATATATATATATATATATATATATATATATATATAAAAGAAAATTATTTTTTATTTTATAATTTAATAATTTTTTGCTAAAAAAATTATACACATATGCGCAGTAGATTTCCATCAGTATTAGTAATTGTCATTGTTTATAATTTTTTTTTTTTACTTGTATTTCAATTAACCGTCTTTCAAAAGTTGTATATTTATACAAAATTGTCACACGTTGTTTACACTACACTGAGTCTAAAACCACTGTTAGAATGGGTTGTGAAAAACAATATCTGAAATATTGCACTTCTAAAACAATGACATAAGATTAAATGTGACCTGAGGTTGATAGAAACTTTTGAATGTGTTAACAAAGAAATACATTTATAAAATGTTAGAAGTGGACTTTAAGCCTAACTCAATCCCACGGCTTGTAGGATGAGGTTTGTACTTTTTCACTAGGATAGGCTCTAACCATGGCTCTGATACCATGTTAGAAGTGGATTTTAGGCCTAACTCAACCCCACAAAACCGGTTTGTAGGGTGAGATTTGTACTTTTTCGCTAGGATAGACTCTAACCATGATTCTAATACCATGTTAGAAGTGGATTTTAAGCCTAACTTAAAATACTCATTTCTTAAGTTTTGTATTTCTTTTCATTTGTTTAAGGTTTTTTTTGTTCTTTTCAGTTTCTTATGGTTATTGTATTCATCCTTTTCAACACATCATGTAAAGCTGTTAATGATAAAATGTGCTTATCGTTAATTGAGATGAAATTGTTCACATAAATATAAGTGTTACAATTATATGTGTAAACCTAGAGATTTATACCATTTTAGTTATTGTCTAAAACTAATTAAAAATAGAATTATTGTTTCTTTTTAAATCAAACACCTGTCTAACCCATGATAGCTTCTCTGTCTTGTCACTGTTCTCTACATCACAAAAACAACAAACTCATTTCTATAATTAAGGTCAAAATCTTTGTATTCCGATGGCAAATAATGGTATGATGGAATAAGAACATTGAAGAAAACTATATTGTTCCACCGAATGATGTGTATTATCTTACGAATTCAATCTAGATTAAAGTTTCCATCATTTGGTCTCCATGATTTGCATGTGCACTCATCAAAATTCCAAGACATACTTGAATGGTATTTCTTCCACAATACAATTGAACCATTCAACTACTTCCACCAACTAGGTCAAATTTACATTTTCCCCTAATCTTTCTAAAATTAACTATTAATCTATAAGTGATTTAATAATATTTATATTCTGCCCATTAATTTGCTTCTCAAAAGATTCATTATGGGTCATCTGCAAATTGAGTTTTGTCATTTCAAAGTTCCTTCCCCACCACACAAACTTTTTAGCAACTCTACAAAATTTCAACCTTTCTAACTATAAAATAAAGAAACATACATGATTCTTTTTCCACTAAATGTCTTGGAGACACTCTCATTCTCCAAAACAAAGAGAACTCAAACTTTTTTTTAATTCAAACAACTTAAAATCTATACCTTTTCCCACTATTTTCTCTCTCTCTCTCTCTCTCTCTCTCTCTCTCTCATACTTCCTTCCAATAATAGTAGGCTGGAACTGTTTAAATACTGAATATATCCTTCGTGTTACATGTATATAAATATTTTAATTTGTGCTTTTTTATCTAATTTTTATATACACATGTCTCAGAAAATCCTACAATTAAAGGAATTATCAATAAAAATTATACCATTCCAAATATATAATAAACAATTTTTAAAGAAAGAGCCATCATGTCAAAAGTTATGACAAAGAAGTAGAAAGTAAGAAAAGGAAAGGTGTAAAATGTCGAGTTCAAATTCTGTACTATTTTTTTTATATTGTCTAAATACAAGTCATAATAACACTTTTTTGTATTCTTGTTTTTTTTATGTTAAATAACATTATCTTAACCAATAATATAAAATCTTCTCCTAAGTTTGTATATGTTTCTTGTTAAAAGAGTTAGAATACTCCAAGCCCTCTACTTTTATTATAATATTTTTTTTCTTATAAAAAAATAGAAGATCTTCTAAAAAAAATTAATATACCATGGTACAATTCTTTTATATACAATCATGTATTTGGGTGGTATAGAAATTAGACCATTCACTAAGGATTATGGCTTATAAGCCACTTAAGTGTCAACTGCCCTAGATTATAAAATTCCACGCACCAGTTTTTATTTTTATTTTTTCAAGTAGATTAATTAAGTTGTAGAGAATTTTTTTTTTAGCGAACTTGAAAGGTGGATGGACTTCAAAATAGCTAAGCAATAAGAATATATTTAACTGAAATATCAATGGGCAGTAAATTATATACGCTAATATAATGTGATAGCAAAAAATGGATAAAATATTTAATAGATGTCTAAATAAATGCTCCCTGTTAACAATGAATCCTATGGATTTAAGCATTACTTTCTACTAAAATCGATCCCATCATTGTCTGTTCTGTACCAACAAAAACAAGAGCTATGGTCACTTCAGTTAATCAGAAGCACAACAATAATAATATTATGAGAGAAAGGGAAAAGAGTTAAAAGCTATATATGTATTAACATATATATATATATATATATATATATATATATATATATAGAGTGTTAATCTGATTTAAAACTTCCTCATAGTATCAGTTTCAACTACTCTTTTTTGACCAAAAAAAAATCTATCCCTTTTCATTTTGAAGGTAAAAAAGCTTAAGTTAACATACCTACCAAAAATAAGGAAAGTAAATAACATATAGGTTGATGATTATTCACATTCAAAAAAGACAGGAAACACTGTGTCCCACCAAAGAAAAAGGAAACATAAATATGAGTACTGATATGGATGGATTGTAATCTTATGTGTGAAGGATTTCAGAATCCTATAGCATATCAGGAGAATGGAAAGTAGTCTCAAACCCTAACAACCACCTACACTTGATTTTCTTGTTTTGGTATCTTCGCCACCCCCAAAAAGCTACCATACACAATCATGAACCTCTCCACTCCCAGTCATCAATAGTTTCATCTTTTCAGTTTTAATTTGCTCATTATCCTCTCTCAAACTTATTTAACTGTTTAATAACATCATCAGATCTTGTATGGTCCTCTGATGCAATGTTGATGCATGTCAAATGAGAAAGAAGATTGAGCTATGGATGAAAACAAGAAGTGGATGCATAAGGAAACTGAAAGACAAAGAAGGCAAGAGATGGGAAAACTCTGCAACAACCTCAGATCGCTTCTGCCTTTAGAGTATATTAAGGTAAGCATCTTCTTCGGACAACAACTTGTCTTTGAAACTGTTTGTTTCTTTAATTTTCTCTTCTTTCTGGTTGGAATTTAAGAGTAATTGAAATTTGAAACACACTAGTCATTAGGGGTGCTTTTATTCCATGTCTTGATGACCATCATCAGGGAAAGCGTTCAACCTCAGATCATGTGCATGAGGCTATGAATTACATCAACCACCTTCAAGATAAGGTAAAGCAATTGCAAGAAAAGAGGGATGCGTTGTTGAAGGTGTCTAATAATTTGAGTAGCATTGAGAATGAAAGCTCTTCTGCCACTCATCTTCCACCTTTGGTTCTTGTTCATCCTTTCCCTGGGGGCCTTGAGATTATTTGCAGTCATAGCTTCAGGAAAAGTGCGTTTCCCATGTCAAGATTATTGGACATTCTGCATAAAGAAGGACTTAACGTGGTCACCACTACTTCCATCAGAAGAGATGGTAGATTCATACATACCATACAATCAGAGGTACATGTCAATTTATTTTCCATTGAGCATTATGGTAACGGTTTTGAAACTGATCATTATTGTTTCGTTCTGTATAAACTGATCTGAAGGATCCCAATCATTCTAATATGGTTGACACTGATTACTCTGAACTGCAAATAAAGATTACGGAGGCATTATCATCTTCAAGTAAGTAGCAGAAGTTACACAACATTCTAGTGTAAAATGTTTTGTGTTCTTCACAAAAGATTTTTTGTTTGCTTTATTTTCTGAATATTCAAATAACACCAGTATGGTCACCATCATTTAACCATTTGCAGGTTTGCAAGAGACTTTGCCTGAACCTGAAAATTGCTAATATCTTGGGAAAAATTAATATATTATTCATTCGGATGTTTCTTATTGCATATACCCTTAACTTGAGTGATTTGTACAGCAGTGAACTTGTTAAAAGTTGTACTTTATCTGCCACAATTGTTGGTGCAGTACGAAGGGTAGCTAGTTGACGATTCAATTTCATGAAGGTCACAAACATGGATAGAGTTCATAATGATGTTCAATGTTTTGTATTTCTGCATTTAACTCTTACAATTGCCATTTTTTAATTGCCAAATCATTTTCTTTAAACATGGGGCAGTATTACTTAACATGGTTTTAATTAAGAGCCTGCCACTGCATTCATAATGTCAAGGTTTTTATGGTTTTATAACCTTTCACTCAACAACTACATTTTAAAACCTTGCTATTTTCTTCTGCATCAATACAGCAATCAAGTATTAGAATGTTCTTCGTTTCTTTCACTTCAGTTCCAACAATAACTGCATTAGCTATCAGACAGTGATAGTTTAGACAAAATTTGAATTTGGTTTCCATTTTGGCAGCGCAAAGTCTTTATTGACGTCAAAATTTTGTTTCTCTCTACTCAGTAGCTTTTTTTGTAACAATTATATTGTTCTACGTAGTCTCTTTTTCTATCAGGTGGCATACAAAAAACACTTTGATCTTTAACGGAAATGAAGAGAGCATGCCAGATTCTACACTATTTTTTCGATAGAATTGATAGCTTCATTTATATATCTACACACAAATACCTAGTAAGAGTGATAATAGACACATGAATATTAGTGATGCATCATGAGAAACAGAAGCCATAAATGTACATAAAACACAATGTACTGAAGGGCCATAATATTGAAAGAAAAATTGTTTTCAAGGTATAGCTAGTAAATTAAATGTATTATTGAAGTGTTACTAATAATATTTTGAGAATACGGAAGCAGGTGAATTTCATAGTACTTAATTAGTAAGGAAAAACAAGAGAAAAAGTATTGTTGAAATATAATAAAACTTAAACTATTTCGAGAAACTCATGCAGCTCACAAATTGGAAAAGAATAGACATTTAATTGAAACTGATAAACTGTAATTGAAGATAGCAATCTAGCCTTCTGCATACTTTTCTGTTTCATTATTGAATAGAAAACCTCTGGAGTGTACATTATTTATGAGTATTCTATGTGGGTTTGCATAAAAATTAAATTATGTAAATCAATCAGAAATCATAGCCATTGACTGGATTATTTACTCATTCCTAGCTCCTTTTCCTGTGCTTTTCTTGACGGGCACATATGCTGCAGCCTGTGATTCAACATCTGCTATATGATCAGTTAAACCATAAATATGTTGGTCCCTCACTTTCTCTTTATTGCACCTCCCTAACAGTTATAAGCATGGTCCAACCAATTTCTCCAGCTGGCCAGAGACAGTGGTTGATCAAGTGGAACCATGATTTTAAGGATGTAACCAAGATGTTGATGATATAGCTAGGTTTTGTATTACCGAGTGCCGGTTTTGAAGCAGGCATAGTTTGGTAAAATATATTTATATATAATGGTTAAACTCAAACACGATTATCTTCAAAAGACACTACGAAAGCAGAAAGAAAAAGTAAGAGGTAATATTCCCTCAAGTTGGATAATAATTTGTTTTAAGAGTTAGTTCAAAACCATTTCCATTTAAGTGATTGTATTCATGTATATCCTTGGTCCATTATGCGAAAAAAAACTGGTCGAGTATCAAAGCAACTGTATTTAGCAGATATGAAACCAGCATTATCCAATTATTTTATTAATCAGGAATTATAATCAGAATCATTATAAGCGAAGATATGACAACTAAGCTAATCTTCGCTGCACTGCTTTAAATGCATTATTGTGGATCACATCTTCAGTGTTTATGGACTCATTTCATAAAGTAGTGGAATAAGTATGATCCTGCAATTATCCAAAATCTGCCTAAAGCACACAAACATAATCAACCTTATACGTGTTTATAATTTCTAATTCATCCAGTATCTTCCTCCATAATATTGAACTACCTTCATGTGGTCCAAAAGTAAAATTATTTTGGATGAACTTCACTCGATTAGTATTCGATCCTCCTTCAGTTCACTGTACTTAGTTACTTAAAAAAGCATCACAAACATTATAGTTTTCTCCATGTAGCACTAAAAAACAGCTTTAGTACATAATTATGTTATTAATTAGTATGCCAGTATCAGATTTTGTTGTGCAGTGTTGCTGGTAAGGCGAAAACATAGCGAAATAAATTTGGTCCACAAATCGTGAAACTGAATCAGAACCAGATAGGCGTAGCAGGTAGCTAGTCCCTACTGGTCCACTGCCATATTAATGGAACAGTGTCTAAGGCCAGGGTCAATGTTCTTCCAACCTCCACGTAGATCTTGGAATTCATCCAAATTGATTTTCTCAATCACCTTTCTTACCATCTTCATTGATTGTATTTAATTCAACAGCATGGAAGAGCAACTGTTCATACATATGATGTAGGGAAGCCTCCAAGTAGGTGGGGATATATACTAAAATAAACAAAGTCCACATAATACAGTTCTAGTGTCCCCAACAAAATTATGGATTTATAACCTCGAATCTTCTTCAAACCTCGTTAATTCAAAATAAATAAATAAATAAATATATATATATATATATATATATATATATATATATTGAATATTTTACGTTTACTAGAGATAAAGGCGATTTGTTATATATAAATGAGTTTAAATGATATCTTATAAACTAGTTTTATTAGATAAAATTAAAGTTAAAATTTATTTCTTAACATGATTATATCATCAAGTAGACTCTATTATAACAAAACTTGTTTTTGTGTTAAATTTATTGTTCCATCTCCTATTGAATTATCTATATTAATATCTAATTTTACGTTATATATATATATCTTCTGATTTGCATCGTTATATCTTCTGTCTCTCTCCCTCTCCTGTAACTTGTATTCATTAATAATAACAGTAACAATAGTAATAATAATAAATTATTATTATTATTATTATTATTATTATTATTATTATTATAAGTGAGCCTAAAGTTGGTTTGTGGACTTATTAGCTGGCTTTATTATTGGACAAAATCTAGTTTAGTCTTTGTTTGGGCCTCCAAGAGATATTGCACTACGAGGAAAATTGTACTGGTTCATACACATAGTGCAGCAAAATTGACCCAAACAATGCTGAAGATAACCCATCAAATTAATGAAGTAATGCAAGCATGATTCAATCCAACTTATATTGAGTTAAACCAGGTAAAGTTATAGGTTGTATTTATGAAAAAAGTAGGAAAAATATTTCGTTTTTTATATATTTAAAAAATGATAATTTCTTTTAAAAATATGTATAAATTGAAATAAAAATAAAATACTCTTTTAAGAAAATGAAAACAGTTCAATCAGTTACAAAAGCACCCGGATATGATATTCATTATAAATTTCTATATACATATACATAACCAAAAAAAGTAACCATTTTAATGTGAAATAAATTCTCAAGACCTACGTATACTTTATTGCTAGACCTAGGTAGTCTTTACTTTCCTTTTCTTTTCCATCTTAAAAGACTAAAAAGCATTAGGTAATCACACATTAATAATGAAATAAAACAATTTTTCACATCAACTTTCTTGAAGCAGGTGAATGAGTTTAATTAAATTTAAAAGTAAGTTAGTAAAATTTGGAATATAAAGCATTTGTTCTTATTGCATTTGAAGTAGGAAGAGACCATAATATTTATTTTATCATGAGTTCTTCTCTTGGCCTTTCCCTTAATTGAAACCCAATAGCTGTCTTCATAATTTTATAAATGCTGAGAAAACTTCATAGTTGATTCTGCCATTGGTAAACGAAATTAGTGGAATTATAAAATGGTACTATATGTATTCTATTGTCTAGAAGTTTCTTACTCAAAGTTTAAACATTATATTTAAATTAAATAAATAAAGACTCTAATAGAAGCTATTCGTGCCAATGAGAATTATTAGCCAATATGGTTTTGGATTCCACCTTGCACGTCCTCAACGTCAGCATCCATTCTTTTCATCTCTTTGGAAAAAGAATGGGCAAATCTTTCATATATATTAATTAAGCAATACTTTATTATTATTATTATTATTATTATTATTATTATTATTATATATTATTATTATTATTACTGTTATAGTTATCAGATGAGGGACTGGAATGGGTTAAAGAAGAAAGGATATTCTAATTTCGATTACATGAATTTTTAATAAAGGATAATTATGTGAAATTATATTTTTAATAAAGCTTCGTATTCAATAACTATTTATTATATTGTGAAATTGTGGTAGCTATTTCTCCGGCCATAGTAACCTTTTTTTTCGTGTTATCTGTCTCTCTATATAATATTATGAATAATTTTTTCAAGATGTTAAATTTGATAATTAAAGTTATAGAAATATACCATTCATAAGGAGTCTTCCCTAGACAGTGTTTGACTTTTTCACCCTAATTTACTTTGGCTTTTGTAGGAACCGAAAGCCACTGTTTTCACATAATTAAATAATTAATCATATATATATATATATATATATTTAACATGTCTCAGATTTTCATAATCTGGGTTAACAAGTTGGCCATGTGTTTTAGGTTATATAAGAAAATTGAAATTATTAATTTGTTTACGTGTGGTGTTACTGAAGCTGTACGTATCGACATGCATCTACAAAGACAGTTTTATTGTACTATTGACAAATAACACTTCACCTTCAAGAGAAGTAATGTAGTTACACACTAAAATATTTCTTATAATTATAATCCGAAATTGAATAATATTATTTTCTATTTTTCTACAAGAATTTTATTAAAGACAAGATATTCAGTCATTACAGGAACTCTTTTAGAAAGAAGGATTGCTAGTTTTTAAATTATATTTTATTGTTATTGAAGAAATTTCTAAATTAGACATTTAACCAGTCTCCAAAATTAATGTCCAAGATTTTATTTACTTTCAATTTAGATTTTAATTTACTCCCAACTGATTGTTAGCAAATAGTTCATTAAACTTAGCTTAGAGACATTAATTTATTTGTAGAAACAAAATATTTCTTATTTTTACAAAAATCTCAATAATAAAAGTGATAAAAATGGAAAATATAAAGAGGAACAAAATATATATGATTCTTTTTAATTCCTAAAAGAATCTTATTTCTAGAAATGTTTCAAATACATATAATATAATCCTTCTTTTCATTTAGTTTTGATATCATTATAATAATGATAAGGTTATTTAAAACATTAAATGAAAAAATAAACTTAAGAACTAAATTATTAGAAAATTTAAAACGTATTTAAGTCTCCATATTAATTTAACCCAATGAATTCATGTGAATAAGTAGTGACATGAAGGGCAAAACTAGTCAAAACGGCAAAGAAATTAAAAGGTCAACGACTCAACTTCTGATTAGACGCATGATAAGTATTAATAATAGCTAAACCAAATGATTCGTTTAACTTAATCTCTAATACCATATTTCTTCCTTTTTTTTAATAATCAGACCAGTTACTATAGGTGGTGGCTTTATTATTGGAAAATGTCTGTCACGTCACTTCTTTTCTCAAATATTAATATTTGGCAAAATTATAATATGATAATGATATTTCACAATATTTTAACAGGATTGATCTAAAATTATTTCACAATTAATAATAATAATTATAAATATCAATCTAGGTCAATGACATATAAAAATATTAAAATGTTGTTAAAATAATATTGTTAAAATAATATTGTTAAAGTATCATTGTTCTTATAATATAACAAAGACAGAATATATTAATCATATTACTTTAACCTTTCTCGGAAATTTTACTACGAAGAGACTTTCCTGGAATTTCCACACCATTGTAGCACGTAATGACCCTTTAGCCTCCTTTATCAGATAAAAGAAAAAAGAAAAAAAAAACTCTTCTGACTGCTCATAAAATTTGAAAATTCCATAAAATTATAATTTAAAGTATAAAAGTAAAGACAATATTTATTTAAAAATTGGTCTTTTAAACTTACTTCTTAACAATTCTCACTCTAAAAAACTGGTATACGAGGATTAGATATCCACTTATTAATACTACGAAAAGAAAATTGTTGTATGCTTAAGAGTGTGAAAGGGTAAGAGCTATATACTGTGCTTGATTGAGATATTTTTCCAACTGAAAAATACCAAGAAATTTACAGAATTAAAAATCTTCTTAGTATACACCAAACATGGAATCTACTTCCATTGCCAAATTTCCGCCGTTGATAAAAAGTTGGGATGGCAGTGACAGCATCACTTTCCATTGGTGAAAATTATCCAACTCAAGCTCTAACAGGACCATCAATTTTTCTATACAAGAAGTAAGACGAATTGGTGCATTGTTGTAATAATTAAGCTCACACGAAAAGTAATATAAAATGTGACAATTCCAATGAAAAATGAAGCTTAACGAAGGCTAGCAAACAATGGCATAGGCCACAATTTGATGCATAAAATATACACAGAATTTGTTTATATTAACCTTAAAAGACCTTGACTTCCAAGGTAGTCCCTTGTCGATACCATAAACATCTTCTGTCTTCTTTGCATTTGCCGGTTCACATTATTATGCTTCTTTCTTGCAGGGTTTGAGTTGAGCCTATCTTTCATTTTGTTTTTAACTTCAACCCTTCCAACTTTCTCTTCTGTCAAACTGAACTAAGATTCTAAAGATTCTTCCTTCAAACAATGAACTTGAAGCAATACTGTTGTTTCCTCTCAGACGAAGGGCAAAGCAAAATTCAGTACGGTTTTTATATCTGCTTAATTTTCATGCGTGAGTTATCATAATTTTAGGTTTTCAGTTAATATATCTGTTTTTTTTTTTTCTTTTCTTCTTTTTACCAGAATTGCTAGGAAGAAGAGCAATAGGGATTATCCATGGGAAATGTACACCTTGAAGGAGTTGCTTAGAGCCACAAACAACTTTCATCAAGATAACAAGATTGGAGAGGGTGGATTTGGCAGTGTATATTTTGGTCGAACAAGTAAAGGAGTTCAGGCAAAATATCTGAACTTTTGTTTGATATATATATATAAAGTTTAAGCATGACATAGTTTGTGTTGAATGGACAAATTTAAATCTGCATCGTGTCAGTTTTTGGTTTAAACATGAACTGATGTATACTGCATAAAATACGAGGGTTTGAACAGATTTGAAAATCTGCAGATTGCAGTGAAGCGATTGAAGACAATGACTGCGAAAGCAGAAATGGAGTTTGCAGTGGAAGTGGAAGTATTAGGAAGAGTGAGGCATAAGAATCTGTTGGGGTTGAGAGGATTCTATGCAGGAGGAGATGAAAGGTTGATTGTGTATGATTACATGCCTAATCATAGCTTGCTCACACATTTGCATGGTCCACTTGCCAAGGAATGTCAGTTAGATTGGGCGAGAAGAATGAGCATAGCAATTGGAGCTGCTGAAGGTTTATTGTAAGTTTAACTTCTCCATATTTGTCTTTCATGGTTCCAAAAATCTTGACATTATTCAACCAACACAATTGACACAACTGATGTTTGTGAATATGTTTTTTGTTTCTGGATAAGGTATTTGCACCATGAGTCAACTCCTCACATCATACATAGAGATATAAAAGCGAGCAATGTTCTTCTGGATTCTGAATTCCAATCTAAGGTTGCTGATTTTGGTTTTGCAAAGCTGGTACCAGATGGTGTGACCCATATGACTACAAAGGTTAAAGGCACACTAGGATATCTGGCACCAGAATATGCTATGTGGGGAAAAGTTTCTGAGAGTTGTGATGTTTACAGCTTTGGAATTTTACTGTTGGAGATCATCAGTGCGAAGAAACCCATTGAGAAATTTCCTGGAGGAGTGAAAAGGGATATTGTTCAATGGGCCACACCATTTGTCAACAAAGGTCTCTTCGGCAATATCGCAGATCCAAAACTGAAGGGGAGATTTGATTTGCAGCAGTTGAAAAATGTGACCACAATAGCTCTTAGATGCACTGATACTAGCGCAGATAAGAGGCCTAACATGAAAGAGGTCGTCAATTGGCTCAAGAATGGTGTAGGGAGCACTTAATTTTTTACTATGATCAGACTGATATGAAACAGTCAAAGTTAAGAAAGAAAAGTACCAAACTGATGTGTATAAAGTGATATAATTTCTTTGTTCTTTTATTCTGATATTTATTAATTATGCATCTTTCTGTTTGAGAAAATCAGATTTGCATTAATTAAATTTGTCAAAATTTAAGGTATCTTTTGAGTGGCCCTTTAATGTTTGTAGGTGTGGTAAAATCACAGGACTAGGTTTTGTAGTGTAGAATCTATTGGGGTTATAACTCTATATTCGCAATTCTATATATGACCTTTTTTATCTTCTTAGGGGTTGCAACTTCGTATTTAATTTTCTCAAAACAATCTTCTTGAACGTTTTATGTGTATTTAATATTTATTAGGTGAAAAAGAGGTAGAGAGAGAAGATTGAAATGGTTTGTTAAAGATTATAGAGCATTATTCTATGTATTTTAGAGTCTATTTTAAAGAAAATATTAAATTTTATTTCTATTCTTAATTATGAAGATTATTGAATGTAGTACAATTAAATAAAGATATAAATGGTAAAAGTGTGAATTATTTTTATTTTTTAATAAAAAAAAACCTCAATGACATTAGAAGTAAGAAACTGGGCCTATGAACTGAAACTGGAGCTGAAAATCGGGGCTGAATTCGAGGACTTCTATTTAGACTCCCATCTTTTGCTAACCGCATTACCATTTTAATTCTTTTATTTAAGATGACATTTTATTTTTATTTCATGGTCGGCAGAGTAAGTACTTTCTAAAATGTGAAACGATATAAGTGTATTATAATAAGTACTTTTTAAAATATTCTCTTTACATTTTGAAAATTACGTTTTGGAACATTCTTTTTATTTTTATATTCTGAAAGTTATCGTGTGAAACGTTAACAAAATAGAATGTGTTATAGAAAGAATAATATAGGATGTATAGAGAGTACTTTGAAATTTGACGCCTAAAACTTTTTTTTTTTTGGGTTTTACATCTTGAAACGTACTTTCGAAACATATTTTTATTATTTTTAAATTTTGGTACATAAAAATGGAAAAACGTAGTTTACAAATTACTTTCTAAAATGTAAGAAAGTAAAAACGTGAAAATATGTAATAAAAGAAAAAGGTTTGTAAATTGCCAGAGCCATTGAGTCTTTTTATCTGGGCCTGAGATAATACCCATGGAAGGTTACTCCCTACACCATCCCACTTTGTTCCCTGTACCACTACATTTTTTAAATTTCAAAACTATTCTTAATATTTTAAAATATCCTATACTCCCACCTCTTTTTTTTAACGGATATCGACATCTGTTGAAGAAAAAAATTCTTCAATATATTTATCACATCCGTTGAGTTTTTTTTTTAATTTTTAGTTTTTTAATTTATGTATTTTAAATTAATATATAAATATTATTTATTTTTAAATTATTACTTAATTATTTATACCTTAATTTTATTTTATTTAATAAAATAATTATTATTAATTAATTTATGTATATATTATTTAAGAATAATTAAAATATTTTTTAATAAAATATATTAAACGGATGTGGCGACATCCGTTGAACTTTTTTGTTTATTTTAGTTTTTTAGTTTTTTCTATTTTTTTTATTTTAATAATATATAATATTATTTAATTATTTTAAAATTATTATTTAATTATTTAAAATTAATTTTATTTTATTTAATAAAACTCAATTATTTAATTAATTTATTTATGTATTATTATTGCAATACTAATTAAATATTTTTTATCAATATATAAAATGGAGTGGCGACATCTGTTTGAATTTTATTTTTTTGTTTTTTTAGTTTTTTAGTTTTTTATTTTTTAATTTTCATTAATATATAGAATATTATTTCATTCTTTAAAAATATTACTAAATATTTATAATTACTTTTATTTTATTTAATAACAAATTATTATAATTTTACTTTATTTTATATTTAAATAATATTATTTTTTTTAGAACTTTAACTAAACAGGATGTGTCACATCCTGGCGACATGGTTGACTTAGTTTTTTTTTAGTTTTTAGTATTTTACTTTTTTCTCATTATTTAAATTACTATATAAACTGTTATTACTTTTTTTTTAATTATTACTACTTCATTATTATAACATTAATTTTATTTTATTTAATAAAATAATAATTATTAATTTAATTTATATATTATTATTTAAATAATAAATAAAATACTTTTTAAAAATTTATTGAACCGTTGAAGTTTTTTTGTTTTTTTAAATAAAAATAATAAACTAAAATATAAAATATGTAAACGGATGTCAACATCCGTTGATGAAGGTAAAACGAATATTGACATCCGTTTTATAGAAGGACAAATTAGGTATGTGATGGTGTAGGGAGCTTGGTAGTGTTTGTGGAGGGAGCAACTCTCTAGTTCATGCTTCAAACAGTTTAAACACAGGATTAACTTCAACAAAGTATTCATCTAAAACTTTAGCTATGTTATGTATGATTTTAGGTATGTGTGAACAAATTTTTCTTTTATATTTATAAGAAGAAATAAAAGTAAAGAAATTTATTATAAAATTAAAATATTTTACATATAGTTAATCTGGAAAATTCACAATCTTTTTTTTTCTTTTTAGAAGTGTTTATGCAAACAGTTCATTATAAAGAACTTTTTATTTATTTGAGGTTTACTCTTTTAGTTTAGTCCAATCGATAAGGAGTCCAGTTTTATGTTTTTAAACAGGTTAATCCACTAAAATTTATATTTTTTCAATTTTATTTAATTATCGAAATACAAATAAATAAAATTTTATTTTTATCTTAATCGTAAAGCGAACTTATAAACATATAACAAGATTCTAACAATTCTTTTAGTTGTTGACAGAGAACAAAGACTTTTACATAAATTATATTATATGTATTAGTGTTTATGAAACAAATTTTTCAGATAATACTAATTATATTTACAGAACTAGGATCAACATAATAAACTGTGAGTCTATATTTTTATTGAAATCATATCTGAATATAATAATAATATAATAATAATATAATAAATAATAACAAAATAATAAATAATAATTAAGTCACAAATTACTAAAATTTAATTATAATACATATGGGTATAACCTAATTTGATATAGACTTAGACTATTTCATAATAAAAAAGATTAAATTTTTTTATTAAACTGCATTGTTTAATATATCTATTAAACCGAATAATAATAAACTCAAATTATTTTTTTATCATATAAGAAATTGAAATAATAAGCTAAATTACACGGAGGAGTGATTTTATTGATTATTAAGATTGATGAGAAGGAAAGTGAGAAATTTAGAAGAAGAAAAAATGTTAAGGGTGTAGTATAAGCATTATAAGCCAAGAGGAAGAAGCCAAATAGGAAGTGGCAACAGCTTTATTCTCCCAAATCCCAACATATGAATGAAGCAATGATTCCTAGTGACTAGGGTAAGCAAATCTATATAAATAACACGAGTGTTGTAGCTGGGAATTCTAGTCACCTAAATATCCGTTGCCTATATACTCATCGTAACACACAAAACACAACATAGACGTTGTGCAACAAAATACATAGGACACTTTTTTTTACGATTATTCTCTTTAGGACAATTCTTTTATTACAGACACACCAACAAAACATTCAATATAAAATCGTCTAAAGTATTATAATAAGATAATGAAAAAATATTAAAAAGTAGAAGGAAAAGTAAAGTTTGAAAATGAATGTGGGCATCTGTCTCCGTGACCGTGACTGTGTGCGAGTACAAATATAGTATTATGATGAAGAGAGAGAAGAGAGAGTGTAGGGGAAGAGGTTGGAGCCGGCCTAAGAAGGGTAGGTCTTAGGAGAAAAGTGAGAGAGAATTGAATTCTTCTTCTGATGTGAAGCAGCAGCAACAGCAGCAGCAGCATATGCCATTCATTCTGTGTAGTGTTTTGTGTTGTGTGGTGTTTCTATAGCTAACGGTTTTAGAAATGCAATGCAAGAAAGGAGTGAAGAGAGAAAAAGGGAAGGATGAGGTCAGAGATTGTTTAGTTTAGATTTGTACATATGTGTATGTGTGTGCATGAGTGGCATACAGCTCGATGGATGGATTGTTGCAGCTTTATGAGAAAGGGAGAGATGAGAAGAGTGAGATGGGATATGGCATGTTGTTGTAGCAGTCACGAGTTGCTGCTATTCTGATACAGCTGTTGCTCTTCCTCCTCCTGCTGCTATATAGTAGTAGTGTGCTACTGCTGCTAATAGGGATCAAACCCCAAAATTCATGTTGATTCAGTCTCTACAACAACACCGTGTCATCTCCATGCAACAGAATTTGATGTAACTTGTCGGCCTCTAAAGTACCTTCCACTGCATTTAATATTATACTCTCTCTCTTCTTCTCTATACTTTTATATCATCTATACTTACTTTCTATTTTCTTAACTTATAAACTTAAGAAAAATATCATGTTTTATATTTATTTGATATTATTATTTTTTTTAATTAGAAAATTTTATTTTTTTATGATTAATTTATTTTTTTAGTGTGTCAAATTAAGGTAAATGTGTGTCATTTTATCGTTATACTAAAGTTAAACTTTCATTTATTTTGTTTTTGATATCAAATACATTTTTAATGGAAATACATCTTTTAAAAATAAAATTAATTTAAAATATATGTAAATTTTATTTTTTTTAATATTTTATTTTTTTTAATATATTATTTTATCTACTATTCAACAATTATATATTATTTATTAATATTTAATTTTATACATGTAAAATTTTCAAAAATTGAATATTAGAGGTGATAGAGTTTTTAAAATAATGATATTTTATTATTGGCATAATACCCTATTTTGTCCCCAGTTTCGCTCGACAATGTCAAATTAGTTCATCTTTTAAAACGTGCGTCAATTACGTCCTTCCGTTAAATCCGTACAAACGGTGTTAATTATTTTTCTCTCTCTTCTATTAACACCGTTTGTACGGATTTAACGGAAGGGATTTCATTGATATA